TAGATATAGAAAATGAATGAAGATGAAAATATGTTGAAGTATGAATATGTTATATTTTTAGATTAAACAAATAAGTATATATTTTATTTTTTAAAAATAATTATAATAATTATGCAGTTGGTTTCTTAGATCTAAATATTTTTATTTATTAAAAATAAGTAAATAAGAGATATTAATAATTTATATCAGTTATATGTTTTGTTTCAATAAATTCGCAAATGAAAATAAATGTCTTATTTTCTTATTTGCCTTATTATTATTCACCATATAAATTTACTATTCACCATAGTATTTTAAAAAATCTGGTCCAGAGCGGCATAACAAAAGTTTCACTTAACACTACCCTCCCTCCCCAACAATGGTAAAATTTAACCATGTCTTATTAAAAAAAATATAATCTCTAAAAGTATTATTGTTCGTATAATTACATTTAACAGGACACCAAGAATTTAAACAGCATTTCGTATAGGTAGTTATTTTTTTTTTCGTTTTCTTTCGAGTAATTTTCGTTATATATAAAAAAAAAAAAACTTTGGGGCTGAAGCCCCCCAAAATGAAATGCTAGATCAACTAGTGCTTGGAGTAGATAGGTATTTTCATATATAAGGTAGTTTAAGTAAAAACGGCCGTATAACTTCATTTAAATTAATTAATTACTATGTTCTTTCCATCGAATCTGTTAAATTTATACGTTTGCATCACTTTCCATTTTCCTGTGTGTGGTATCAAACAATAATAATAATAATTGTGCAGAAGGATCTTTTGGAAAAATTTGAGTTTAATCGGAAACATTTATCATGAAACTCATCAAAAAAAAATTTAAGGGCTTTAAAATTAAAAATAGGCTAGTTTCGTTTAAACTCTAAAAAATCTTTAGAGGGATTCTTTATTTAAAAAGTAAAAAACCACTGTAACATGTACAAACCTTAGATACTCATAATAATTTCAGTTGCGTATGCTTTTCGTTTTTGAGTCAGACAGTTCATCTACACACATACACACAGACCATTTTGCGGGACTTGGTTATTTAGATTCAGGGCACCTCAAATCAAGTATGTCCGTTGAAAACTCAAATTCGAAAATTTTCACGATCGCAATACTTTCTCTTACTATATATTACATATATAGGTAATTGAAAGTATTAGCGGAATCAGAAAGTAATGTCGTTTTCTTACAACATTAAATTCAACAACACAAATTTTTAAACAGATTTTTTTTTTTTTTAAGAATGTTTGTACGAGAGGTCATATATATATGTAAATTAAAAGGTCGTATATTTGAAAAATATAAAGGTTTAATTAAATATAAATATATATGTTATATCAAAAGGGCGTAAGGTGGAAGTTTCGTTTAAATCATTAGAGTGATTTTTTATTTCCAAAGCAAGAATACTATAAAACAAGATTCCCCACTACGCTGAAAAATCTAACCTTATAAAAATCATCCCAAATAAAATTCATAGTCCGTGGTACAGATCCCTTTTTATCAAATTATTATTATCCGCCTGAAACTTCGTAAATAGCTTCATCTGATCGTATTATTATATTATTTATTTATTTTTATTTATCCGGGTCATAGTTTTTGTTTCTGTTTGTACCAATATGAGTATGTATGTATATATAGTTCTTTTTTTTTCCATTACACTACAAGTAATCCTGAGATTTTATTTTATCTTAATGTTTGCATATTATTATATAAATCACTGTAGATATTATAACATTTTGTATTAAGTTATTTTTTTAATTAGTTAGCCAATTGTTTATAAATTGTGTAGTTATCTATTTATATATAAATAATTTATTTTTTTTATATCAAAATAATAAGTAATTTTGAGAAGATCTTATGTTCATTTAATTTTTTTTCTGATTATTTTTTAGTGGTTACATACTATTTTTTAAATAATGTATATGATATTAGAATTTTTATAAGTTAGTTTTTGGACAGATTTGTATTTTCTTTTATATTAATTAATCATTGTTAGTCCCAGAATAAAGTTCATTTGTTTATTTAATTAGATATTAAAAATCCATAAGTACCTATTTGCTTTCTACTTGCATCTTAGTATACAAAATCACAAAATAAAAATGATGGCCTACAAAAATTTTAGGCCATTTGGCGTTATTTTGACATTTTGGGGATGTAAGTCCATCAAACGCCTCAATATTTATGGAGGCCACCCTTTTTCTCGACTTTGTGTTCAAATTATCTTACGATTCAAGTGGAAAGCAAATGAGTATTTATTAATTTTCAGTACCTAATTAAATAGACAAAGTTTGCCTATCTGTAGGTTGAAAACGCCCCAATTCCGAGAATTTTCGTAAATAAAATATTTTGTAGGTTACAATGAGAAGAAGTTATTTACGAAGTTTCAGGCGGATGTTAATAATTCGATAGAAAGGGGTCTATACCACGGACCATTAATATGTATGTGCCAATTTAGTTATCATTCTACGTTCGACTAATTCCTTGTCACTTCTTAAAAATAATTATATTTAGATAAGGATGACATAATCGATATTTTTGTTTCCGCTATCAACAAACCTACTAAGAAGGAGTTTTCTAGGTCACCGGAAGCTGAAGCTTGGTTTCACTCCTTTCTTCTCCACAGTTCTTCGCAATATTATCTCCGGGTATCGATATAACAATACAACCTACTTTATTAATAAAATAATATTTTTAAAACGTTACGATTTTTTTTTTACTTTCAATTACCTATATATGAAATTGCGAACGTGAAAATTTTCGAATCTGAGATTTCAACGAAAATGCATGTTTTAGGGTCTTCTTAGTCCAAATAACCAAGTCCCGGAAAATGGTCTGTGTGAGTGTCCGTGCACAGCTTTACTTGTTTATTGAAAACGGCTCCAACGATTTTGATTAAATTCATCATATCATTGTACAATTAAGTTTTTAATATTATATAGGTTTTATTCTTATTGATATTCTCTAACAGAACTTAAATGGTTAATATTCAATATTAGCTTCCTCTAAAGTACCTTTCATATGGTTTATTTTAAAAGGATGATTATTTCGCATTATTCAGAGTTACGAAAAAATGCTAAATATAACTTTTGAAAGAATTTGATAAGTTAATAAAGGAGAAAAAAAAAAAAATGCAGAAAAACGTAGCTATAGACTGTAGTGCCTAAACGAATGTACCGATTTCATTGAAACTTCGCTAAAGTCATTTTCTCGACACCCTTCAAATTTATCTATATAACATTCATCAGCGAAAAGAAGCTGAAAAAAAGTTACGAGGGATGGTAAAATTAAATTCCGAATAACTCAAACAGTATACACTTTTTTGGGAATGTTGTATGGTAAGTACCTATAATTTTTACTTTCCTAGCCATACTAGGTAAGGAAAGTATTGGAATCGGGTAAAATTTTCGACATGCCGTTTTCGACGGATCTATACGTTTCACAGCCCCTTAAGTCCGAAAAACACATTTTTAGCAATTGGTCTGTCTGTCTGTGCCAAGATTTCCCCGGGAACTACTGAACCGATTTTGTTGCTTCTTTTTTTATTTTGTAGGGTTTTGACTACTGATGCCTGTGACAAAAATTCGGTGATCCATGCGCAATAGCTTGCGCGCAATAAATGAAACTTTAGCATGTCGTTAGAAAGGTAATGAAATTTCCTAAAAAGCCATATAAATTTCGTTCGATTTGGACAATTATTAACGAAGTTACAGCTAATCAATTTCCAATGTAAGATTATGGGTTCATATCCTGGTGTCAGAAAGGGGTGAATGAAAGAAAAAAGATAACTAAGTGAAAGTAAGAAAATCTGTTGCACGCATCACACAAGATTCACTATTTCCTCTACTTTTAACAGAAATTATTTTTGGCAATATTAGGCTATGGCAAAAAGTTTTTGATCAGCAATATTAGATAGTGTTGAAATTTTTAAACTGATCTTCCTTAAGCCGGTTTATATTGCTTTAGTTTATCAAATAAATCGTACTCAAATCTTTTGTTTGATCAATTTTCAGGAAAATAAATCTAGTTCAATTTTTAATTATTTCTTCATGAACACATGTAAAGATATAAAAACTTTTCTGAAATAGGTAGGAAAGTCGTGTGAGTGGACACACCAGATATTTTATATTTGAAATAATTGACCACTTCACATTCATCTGTATTATAAAGGATAGTTAAATATAAAATATGAAAGAATTTTGACCAACGGATTACCAGTTATTTAGATCCATGACCCATTTTCTTCAAAGGACAAAATTAGATAATTTTTCGGAATTTGAAATTGAGATCAAAGAGTTCTTTGACTGCCATCTCAAAGAATGGTATAAGCGTGAGATCAAGCAATTGGCTAGCAGATGGCTAATGAAGGTAGATAACAATGGACTATACTTTGAGTATTAATTGTATTTTATATCAAAACAACAATAATACAGATATTTATTGAAAAACAGTAATTTTTTTTATAAACCCTATTATCTATCGATAATTTACATTCAATGTTTCTTATTTATCGATTTCATAATAAATTAACAATCAATATTTATCTATTATTAATCAGAGATTTTTAAAATTAATTACATGCATAACTGGTTTTTAATGAAAACTAAGATAAATCGAAAAGTCTATATGTTTTTAACTCTGTAAAAGAAATCTTTAAATGGATCTGTAAATTTTAATATTTTTTTGTAAATAGTACATAATAAATAAAAATATTCTTATTTTGAAAAAAAAATATAAATACTTAATAATAAATAAAGCAGTTTTAATTTTTTTTTTTTTATTTAAAGAAAAGAGAATAATTCATTACGATCCCTTATAATCGATCCCGAATATTTTATTCGGTTAAAATCGATATCTTGAAATCTTGTGACGTCAACTCCCGTGTATAACAAGACAATAACCTGGCTTATTTACGAATTTAAGTGATAACATTAACATAAATAAAATATTTTAAATTTTTTTTCAATTTTATACTTGAAATTTTTTTAACATGATACACTAATCATATGAAATAGCTATTTTAATTTATTTAAAAATAAAAATAAAACAGCAGTTATATTAAATGTTTAGTTAATTTTAGATAATCAGAAATAGCCTAGAAATTAAACGTAACTTAATTTCGGTTTTTCAAAAGATAAAAGTGAAAAGTATAAATCCCATGATATATGAAATTCATTTCCACACACGATTTATCTTCGTTTTTATTTTATTCTATTAAAATACATCAATAATCTTTTGGATTCAGTAAACAGGAAAATGGTAAGTCATATACGTTCAAATTTTAGTTATTTGAAACAAATCCCAGTTATCGATTACCTAATAAGTTATAAATCGAATAGAAAACTTTTAATATATAATAATATTTAAACTAATATAGAATTATGATATGTTTATTTGTCTACTTGTTGAATAAGCAGCTGTTTATACTCTGAATGAAAATTCAGATTTCCCTCCAAAATTATAATACCCAATGTTAATCAGTTTCGTCATCATTCGTAATCATTTAAAGCCAGTGGAGGTCAAATTTTTAGGTGGTTCTGTGATCAATACTTAGGATACTCTAAGAAAATTTATTATTATTTATGTTATGCGTTTTAATTATTTGGTTATTACATAACAATATCATTAGCCCAGTCAATGTATATTAACAGGTAACCAAGGAAGGAGGTAAACACACTTTCAGGATGTGGGAAAAAGACACCAAGAATGACACCTTTTTCGGTTTATTGCTTAAATCAGAGAAAATATCCTAGCAATAAAGAAGTTATGTACAACATTAAAGCTAACAAAGGAGGAACTTTTAAACCTCATATAATCCCCCCGCTCTCTCCTCCTCTGGTTCGGAAAATCCGCGTATAGCCTAAAAAACAAGTAAGAGACAAAAATAAAATTGTAACAAAACTAATTATTTTCATGTTTCGGCTATTTCGTATAGATTCTGAGAAATTCATGGTCAATGTTCCCTAATTTAGTAAAAATCTTCCAACTTATCTTCACTTGACCCGCCATCTCTTTAATCCTTCATTCCACGAAATTTCTGCAAATGGGCATTGTTGAGTAGAGGCTTCTTGATTCATTGATATATCCCATGTTATACTCCTTGCCTTCCTATCAAGAAGAATTAATTGACCAATTTCTGTATGCACTTTACAGCTGGTTCATTTCCTACATGTGTTAGTATTATGATCCTAGATCGTTCCGGTTATCTTACGGAGTATTTTTCTCTTAAATCGTTCAATACTTCTTTCTAGGCTGCTAAATAGTGTTTCCGGTCTCTTAGAAGTGTATCAGAATAGACCTGGTGAAAAGATTGTAAGACATTGATTTGAGATTCTTGGGAAACTCAGAATCTCTGGAAAAGATTGTTATATTTGTTATTGTATATTTCGGACCGTTGGTCATTCATTTAGGGTATTCTGAAACCGAGGTATTTGAATTTATCTCGCAAAAAATTTCCTTTCAACGCAGATCCTGCAAATCCTACGGTTTACAGCTCACTATCAAATGTTTTGTTTTATCTTCATTTTTTTGCAGGCCGATATTTTATGCTTCCCTTACTAGAGTTTCAGAGCGTCTCTCCATGTCCCCTTGATTGTTTCCAAAGTTCTCTTATCGCGTTTTCTACTGATAGGATAAACAGCACCGTCGAGAATCCATTTCTCTGTCGAAAACCAGAACGAACCATCAATTTCACTAATTTATCGGAGACTCTCAGCTCGATCATATTCCATAATCCTAGATTTCTGAAGATTACACATCCGCTCCATTCATTGCTCAGCCTCAAAACGTGGCCGAACCATTTTAATGTAAGTGGAGATGCTATATTCCGTTTTCGCCAATGACCATTTTCCGAAATCTTCTTAATATTACTGTAAGCTTTGTCGTTTACTCATTAATATGTAACCAAGATATTATGTAATATATAATATATTAATATGTAACCAACGGAATCATAGGCTGTTTTAAAATCGAAAAATAACGAGTCCACAACCAGAGCTATCCATCGCTTTTCGAACACTTTTATAAAATGAAGATCCGTATCTTCTAGCAAATTAGACCGTTCTAGTTTTGACCGTCGTTAGTTCATTTTTGCAGTTTGGTATATACATACATATATACACAGGAGATATTTATATGTATACACACACTAGTATATGACTCTGTTGGCAGCGGGAAGTGATATCAGTGCACACAGGACAGGCCGGGGTGCAGCTGGGGGACTGCTGTTGGGAGCTGTACTGCATCGAGCACAAGCTGGATCCCAGGGGCAGCCTGTCGCCGGTCAGGGGGACCGACCCCCCGAGCGACACCTTCTGCGACGGCTTCAACTCCTTCTTCATGGAGATGCAGACCGGCAACTTCTCGCCCAGGGCGGTCCTCGTCGATCTGGAGTCCACGCCGATAGGTGAGTAGCCCAGTCATTAAGAAATAGCAGTTTAGGCCTCCACTCCGAAACCTATAATCTCTCTCACTCATGAAACGCTGTGAAAAGATCTTGACGATATCCCATCTACTTCTCAAAATCTATAGACACCATGGTAGAAACCCTTACCACTCAACTTCACTCTATCCTCGACCGACATGCTCTTCTTATCACAACAACCATCCTCCAGCTCCTTGGCTGACTCCTCCTTTGAGAGAGTCTATGAGAGAAAGAGATGCTGCAAGGCGACGGTTTAAACGAACTCGACTTCCTATGATATCAGGATGATTTTCTCTCCTTCAAACAGCTTCGAAACAGCACTCAATCAGCAGTGTTCCGTGCTAAATCCCGTCACTACCATCATTCCCTATCCAACTCTCCCAATACCAAGGCCACGTGGACTATTCTTAGAAAACTGACCATTGGTAATGAACCCCAGTCCCAGTCCAATTCCGTTTCTGCTGATAACCTCAACGCTCACTTTGTCACCTGCCCTCTTGCAACCACATCTACGTCCAGTCCGGCTCTTATGTTTTCTTCCTTTAATCCTGATCACTTCTTTTTTTCCCATATTACACCAGATGATCTCCTTAAATCCATTCAGAAGTCCCATACCAATGATTACACTCCCGATAACATCCCAGTCAGACTGATCAAAGCCGCATTGTCATCCATTCTTCCGATCCTTTATCATTTATATAATTATTCTCTTCAAAATGCTACCTTCCCTATATCCTGGAAAACCGCCCTAGTACGCCCCCTGAAGAAGACCTCAGCTCTTAATGATTTTCGACCGATTTCACTTCTTTTAAACCTCTCAAAACCTTTAGAGCGGTTAGTCCAATCCCAGCTATCCCATTTTTTAGAGGACAATAATCTCCTAAATCCCTACCAGTCCGGTTTCGGGCCTGGTTATTCTACTCAGTCTGCCCTAATCAAAATTTCCTAAGACCTTCACACAGCTTTTGATTCAGTAGACCACAACATCCTCCTAACCAAACCTAAAAATATTTCCTTATCATCTAGTGTCCTTAAGCGGTTCCGATCCTTTCTCACCGGTCGCTCCCAGTACGTTCTAGTTCCTAATAACCTTCCATCAATGTCTCTACCTCTGTCCAGAGGTGTCCCACGAGGTTCCTCTTTATCCTTCACCATCTTTTTCATCTATATCAATGACCTCCCCTCCTCAATCATGCACTGTCAATACCACCAATATGCCGACGACGTCCAAATTTATCTTTCCTTCAAACCGGATCGGTGGATTCCTCTAATGCCATCTTGAAACTGCAACAAAACATCAATAAAACATGCGCATGGGCGAATTTTAATAACCTGACATTGAATACGGAGAAGAGAAAAGCATTCCTGATCGGATCCCCCTCACTCCTGAAATCTATTTCAGCACCTCCCAATCTTCTCCTGAAGAACTCGCCTATCTCCTTGCATAGTACCGCTAAAAACCTTGGCGTTACCCTCGATCAAACCCTCTCTTGGAAACCACAAATCTTTCGAATTTCCCGTCATACTGTATCTACCCTAAAACAGTTGAACCGTCAACGCTATATCTCCTTCCATACAAAACCCGTCAACTCCTTGTTTTCTCCCACTTCGACTATGGCTGTGTGGTATACGGTGGACTCTTGGGAAATCTCGAAGTCAAACTTAAACGCCTAATGAATTGCTCGATACTCTTTATCTTCGAGATCTCACGAGATACGCATATTACCAAGTATTATGCCGAGTTGAAGTGGCTCTTCTTTCCATCCTACCGCCGTCAGTACTTCCTTGGTACCTTTGTACACCAAATCATTAGAAGTCAGCGACTGTCTTGTATTCTTCCTACAATTCAAATCCTCCCGTAGTTTTGACCTTTATCCTTCTCCTCACCGAACTGCTGCTTTTGAGAAATCCTTTGCGATTCAAGCCGCCTCCTTTTGGAATTCTACCCCTCTCAAAACGCACAATCAGTTTCCTCGTTTAAATCTCTTCTTTTTAAGCACCTACTCCTTTCCCAATCCGACTGATCACGGAATGTACATAACAGAACTTCTTAAGAACCCTAGAAATCATGTTGTTTCCTTATGTTATTTTCTTTTCTTTTGTCTATAATATATATATATATATATATATATATATGTTTTTGTTTTGTTCCTTTTTCCTCCAATATTTTTATATTTAATTAGATATCATTTCGTAAATATTTAATAAAATGTATGGCCACACAGGCATTTTATTCAGTATAATACTTTGTTCTAAAGGGACAACAGTCCCAGTATAATAAAAATATTTTCATTTCGTTTCAAATTATTTATTTTAAGCCACATTACACAAATATTTTTAATGTAGTCAACTTAATGACTACAACATCTTATTGCGACGTTTCAGCTCGTCGAGCCATTTTCAAGTCTAAACGAAATTTTTCAAATTGAAAATCATATCTAAAAAATTTTAAATATTTCAAAATTTTCCTCTACTCCTATAAGAATAACTAGTCACTGAATAGAAATGAGACCGACAACATGTAGGTCGACACATGATAAGGTAATTTTAACAAACATGATTGAAGGAATTGTGTAATAATGATGTAATAAAATAGTTAAAGGTGGACATAACAAGAGATGAAACATTTTATTATGAGTAGACACATGTAATTCGCATAAGTGAAATGGAGAGGTACATGATGGGTAATTATGTATAAAAAACTTTATATTTTGAAATATGTAAAAATTAAAAAAAAAATTGTTTGGCTTCAAAATGGCTCGACGAGCCGAAACGTCGTAATAAGATGTAGTCATTAAGTTGACGGAATTAAAAATTGGTGTAAAGTGGCTTCAAATAAATAATTTGAAACTAAATATTATGCACCGAAGTAGAAGAGAGAAATATTGAGAATATTTTCATTTCATTATTAATATTCATTATTCACATTATTAATGGTCCAGATCTACACTGCCTGGTGTCTTAATGCCAACGGATCTAAAATTACGTGAGAATGATTGATTGAACATAATCGTTTCTGAATGATCGTGTAGAATTCACTGCACTTGATCATAGAAACTTCTCAAAATAGTCTGGATTCACCATGCCATAACGGACCCAGAAGGGTACACGTACAATGGTAGAAGCAGGTAGGGGGCAAGGTGGTACACGTAAGAAGGGGTTCATTGTTATCGCACCTGGTCTCGAATGTACGTAGGGGATAATTATTTTGTATGGGACGCTTTTAGCACTGGAGCCAGGGAGCGTATTTACAAATCCTATACCGTTCAGACACCTCGGCTCTGCCTGTCTGTTGGAGAAGTTTAGTCGTTTGAAATTAATATTATATATATATATATATATTAATTATTACTATTAATAATTGTAATATGTATGTATACATAGTTCTTTTTTAATCATTACACCACAAGTAATCCTGAGATTTTATTTTATCTTAGTGTTTGCATATTATTATATAAATCACTGTAGATATTATTACATTTTGTATTAATTTATTTTTCTATTAGATAGTCTACTGTATATAAATCGTGTAGTTATGTATATATAAGTATGTAATTTCTTTTCATTTTTTTTTTTTTCATCACAATAATAAGTAATTTTAAGAAGATTTTATGTTAATTTAAATATATATATTTTTTATTTGTTTATTTTTTAATGGTTACATACAACTTTTTAAATATTGCATATAATGTTAGAATTTTTATAAGTTAGTATTTGGCCAGATTTGTATTAATTCATCTTTGTTATTCTAAGGGAACTTAGTCTCAGAATAAAGTTCAATTTTCTATTCTATTCTAATATATATTTATAAAGAAAATTATTAATTAAATTAAACTAAAAAGAATATTATTCAATCAATACCTGCATTATTATAATAAAAAAAGGTTTACTATTATTTTCTTATTTATTTTTACAATTTATCATATATTTTATTATAATCTTAGTCCTTATTTTTTTATTAGTATTACTGATTTTGATTTTTAATTTATCTAAACTGAACATTATGGATTTATGGTTGACTACAGAGAATAATTGGTTAGGGTAAAAATGTAAAAATAAATAAATTGTATTTATTAATTTATTTTTACATGTTTTTGACTGAATATCTCAACCAATCTTCTCTTCAATTAAAAAGAATATTATTTAATCAGTTTCAATCAATATCTACATTATTATAAAGAAAAGGTCTTAGTATTATTTCCTTATTTATTTTTATAATTTATAATTTATTTTATAATAATCTTACTCCATATTATGTTATCATAATTTAAATAATATTAATTTTAAACGACTAAAGTTCTCCAGCGGGCAGGCAGAGGTGACGTGTCTGAATTTGTATGCCCCCTGAACCACTACAAACCCTAAACGAGTTCAGACAAGGTGTCTGAAACCGCATAAGCAGCAAGGATCCGAAAATCGACCTTATCGCAAACGAAGGTTTGAGTTAAATTTCGAAAATGTGTGTTATTCTAAGTAAAATAAACCTTATCTGCCATATCAGAGCCGCTGTTTTCAAAAAGTTTTTATAATTTTAATTTATATATATGGGTTTAGATATTTTTAAAAAAATTACTATTGGAGATCAAAGTCAAGAGAAAACTTTTACAGCCAAAAAAGCTAGATTTTTTCGATCTATTTTTGTTTTTTCACATATAGCTTCTAAGCGATGCATCGAAGCGAAGAATATACCCTTAAAGAACGTTAAATAGTACGTCGAAGGAGTACCTAAACTTAATTAGTGGTACGGTAGAAAACCAAGGTAGACCAACGCTGATTTTTACCAAATTTGTCAAAAAGTGAAACAAATTATTACTATAAATGGCCCTAAGAGGAAAAACAAAAAATAATATTTTTAATGGCTTTATTGCCAATTTATATTATTATATAATTATAATTATTCTTATGGCGCCTTATTGCCAATTTATATTATACCCGTACATATTTTTATATAAAATTTTTATTTTGTATTAGGAGAGTAGAAG